CCTCGAGCAGATTCTCCTCTCCATGCCCTGACCATGCCCCCCTCGAGCAGATTCTCCATGCCCTGACCATGCCCCCTCGAGCAGATTCTCCATGCCCTGACCATGCCCCCTCGAGCAGATTCTCCATGCCCTGACCATGCCCCCTCGAGCAGATTCTCCATGCCCTGACCATGCCCCCTCGAGCAGATTCTCCATGCCCTGACCATGCCCCCTCGAGCAGATTCTCCATGCCCTGACCATGCCCCCTCGAGCAGATTCTCCATGCCCTGACCATGCCCCCTCGAGCAGATTCTCCATGCCCTGACCATGCCCCCTCGAGCAGATTCTCCATGCCCTGACCATGCCCCCTCGAGCAGATTCTCCATGCCCTGACCATGCCCCCTCGAGCAGATTCTCCATGCCCTGACCATGCCCCCTCGAGCAGATTCTCCATGCCCTGACCATGCCCCCTCGAGCAGATTCTCCATGCCCTGACCATGCCCCCTCGAGCAGATTCTCCATGCCCTGACCATGCCCCCTCGAGCAGATTCTCCATGCCCTGACCATGCCCCCTCGAGCAGATTCTCCATGCCCTGACCATGCCCCCTCGAGCAGATTCTCCATGCCCTGACCATGCCCCCTCGAGCAGATTCTCCATGCCCTGACCATGCCCCCTCGAGCAGATTCTCCATGCCCTGACCATGCCCCCTCGAGCAGATTCTCCATGCCCTGACCATGCCCCTCGAGCAGATTCTCCATGCCCTGACCATGCCCCCTCGAGCAGATTCTCCATGCCCTGACCATGCCCCCTCGAGCAGATTCTCCATGCCCTGACCATGCCCCCTCGAGCAGATTCTCCATGCCCTGACCATGCCCCCTCGAGCAGATTCTCCATGCCCTGACCATGCCCCCTCGAGCAGATTCTCCATGCCCTGACCATGCCCCCTCGAGCAGATTCTCCATGCCCTGACCATGCCCCCTCGAGCAGATTCTCCATGCCCTGACCATGCCCCCTCGAGCAGATTCTCCATGCCCTGACCATGCCCCCTCGAGCAGATTCTCCATGCCCTGACCATGCCCCCTCGAGCAGATTCTCCATGCCCTGACCATGCCCCCTCGAGCAGATTCTCCATGCCCTGACCATGCCCCCTCGAGCAGATTCTCCATGCCCTGACCATGCCCCCTCGAGCAGATTCTCCATGCCCTGACCATGCCCCTCGAGCAGATTCTCCATGCCCTGACCATGCCCCCTCGAGCAGATTCTCCATGCCCTGACCATGCCCCCTCGAGCAGATTCTCCATGCCCCCCTCGAGCATTGCCCTGACCATGCCCCCTCGAGCAGATTCTCCATGCCCTGACCATGCCCCCTCGAGCAGATTCTCCATGCCCTGACCATGCCCCCTCGAGCAGATTCTCCATGCCCTGACCATGCCCCCTCGAGCAGATTCTCCATGCCCTGACCATGCCCCCTCGAGCAGATTCTCCATGCCCTGACCATGCCCCCTCGAGCAGATTCTCCATGCCATGCCCTGACCATGCCCCCTCGAGCAGATTCTCCATGCCCTGACCATGCCCCCTCGAGCAGATTCTCCATGCCCTGACCATGCCCCCTCGAGCAGATTCTCCATGCCCTGACCATGCCCCCTCGAGCAGATTCTCCATGCCCTGACCATGCCCCCTCGAGCAGATTCTCCATGCCCTGACCATGCCCCCTCGAGCAGATTCTCCATGCCCTGACCATGCCCCCTCGAGCAGATTCTCCATGCCCTGACCATGCCCCCTCGAGCAGATTCTCCATGCCCTGACCATGCCCCCTCGAGCAGATTCTCCATGCCCTGACCATGCCCCCTCGAGCAGATTCTCCATGCCCTGACCATGCCCCCTCGAGCAGATTCTCCATGCCCTGACCATGCCCCCTCGAGCAGATTCTCCATGCCCTGACCATGCCCCCTCGAGCAGATTCTCCATGCCCTGACCATGCCCCTCGAGCAGATTCTCCATGCCCTGACCATGCCCCTCGAGCAGATTCTCCATGCCCTGACCATGCCCCCTCGAGCAGATTCTCCATGCCCTGACCATGCCCCCTCGAGCAGATTCTCCATGCCCTGACCATGCCCCCTCGAGCAGATTCTCCATGCCCTGACCATGCCCCCTCGAGCAGATTCTCCATGCCCTGACCATGCCCCCTCGAGCAGATTCTCCATGCCCTGACCATGCCCCCTCGAGCAGATTCTCCATGCCCTGACCATGCCCCCTCGAGCAGATTCTCCATGCCCTGACCATGCCCCCTCGAGCAGATTCTCCATGCCCTGACCATGCCCCCTCGAGCAGATTCTCCATGCCCTGACCATGCCCCCTCGAGCAGATTCTCCATGCCCTGACCATGCCCCCTCGAGCAGATTCTCCATGCCCTGACCATGCCCCCTCGAGCAGATTCTCCATGCCCTGACCATGCCCCCTCGAGCAGATTCTCCATGCCCTGACCATGCCCCCTCGAGCAGATTCTCCATGCCCTGACCATGCCCCCTCGAGCAGATTCTCCATGCCCTGACCATGCCCCCTCGAGCAGATTCTCCATGCCCTGACCATGCCCCCTCGAGCAGATTCTCCATGCCCTGACCATGCCCCCTCGAGCAGATTCTCCATGCCCTGACCATGCCCCCTCGAGCAGATTCTCCATGCCCTGACCATGCCCCCTCGAGCAGATTCTCCATGCCCTGACCATGCCCCCTCGAGCAGATTCTCCATGCCCTGACCATGCCCCCTCGAGCAGATTCTCCATGCCCTGACCATGCCCCCTCGAGCAGATTCTCCATGCCCTGACCATGCCCCCTCGAGCAGATTCTCCATGCCCTGACCATGCCCCCTCGAGCAGATTCTCCATGCCCTGACCATGCCCCCTCGAGCAGATTCTCCATGCCCTGACCATGCCCCCTCGAGCAGATTCTCCATGCCCTGACCATGCCCCCTCGAGCAGATTCTCCATGCCCTGACCATGCCCCCTCGAGCTGGCTTTTAAGGTGAGCAAGTGGATATGAAGGAGTGCATATCCATTTGCTTCATATTCACTTGCTCACCCATGCCTTTCATTGCTGCTGACTTCTCTGTGCTGCCTGCCTCACGTGCAAATCCCAGTTTCTCTCTGCGCTCATCAGATTCGCAAATGGATATGCACTCCTTCATATCCACTTGCGCATCGGATTCTCCATGCCTCCATGCCTCCATGCCGCTATGCCTCCATGCCTCCATGCCTCCATGCGGCCATGCCTCCATGCCGCCATGCCACCATGCCCACGACAACAGAGAGGAGGCGTCACTGAAGACCAATCCACATACCTCGTTCCTCGCGTAAGAAGCAGTACACCCTGTGCTTGCTGTAGTTTCTCTCGTATAATTTGTCCTTTCACATACCGTATTTGCTAAACCCAATCCAAGTGCGTGTTCCGTTGTGAATGCTGGATACCTAAGCAGATTATTTGTCATTGGCTCAATGAAACTTGTTTCTTCCATTCCCTTGCACTGCTTGCCCCATGCCTCTAACAGGGCTCAGCAGACATTTTCTTTCCAACAGATTTTGGCCTGCTTGAGAGACTTGATTCTGTTGCTTCTGCCTCATCCTCGGTGGAGCGGATTCGTGGCTCGGTAAGGAATTCTCTCCTATATTGCTCACAGGAAACTTATCAAACAAGAGCTTGACATTTTATCCGCCCTTATAGTCCCGTTGCCCTTGTCGACGCATCCTAAGTCAAATAAAACTCTGGCTACAACTAGTTTTTTTTTATGTATTTTCTGTTCCCCTGCATATGCGTTAACCTTGCAGATGTTAATTCATGCTAACTTTGCTTGGCCCATTCCTATCCACATACCGTATTCATTCATCCTTCCACTTCTGCTCTTGTACCTGCCTCAGATCCCGTCTGCGGAGTTTCTGTCGACGATTGCTGCAAATACCTACACCAAGGATGGCTTCAATCCTCTGCTCCATGACTTCTCAAACACACGTATATTTGTTAGCGCCCCTAGGTGATGTGATGATATGACATCACGTTATCAGATGTACATGTTACACGTTGTCAGTGTCACAATTCTGTAACGCGGATTTGGCCCACACCAGGTACCGTCGGATTTCTTCCCTCCAAGACATCTTGCCCGTCCGATGGAGGAGAGTTCGGAAATAGTGCCTCCCCCCTCCCACTGCCTTCCCCGTCAAAGCACTAGTCAAGGCAGGCAGGCGTGTCTGCCTGAAATGAAAACGGCCTGTTGACTAGAAAGAAGGAGCCTGGATTCTTCTTGATTCACTGTTTGTTTCCGCACTCTCCGGTCTGCGGGTCCATTGGCAAACCTTGTCCGAGCCTGTGGTAAAATAACTGGAGGTTGCTGTCGGCGAACCAGACAGCTGCGGTACGAACCTCGAGCTCGGTTGAATATCTCACAAGCCACTCATGGGCCAGATTACGGCTCGGCCACAACGTCGAGCCACGTCCGCCAGCCAAAGAGCTCACGCACCGCCGAACCTCCGCACAAACCGCACGTACCTGGCCCATAGTAGCGGCTCGGATTGATGCTGGCTGGGGGCGTGCTCAATTCCCACAGCACACGCAATTGGCCCCCTACCCATCGCCAGCCAAACCGGACTTGCCGCAATTTTCGCCAATTTCAGCACTTACCTCGCCTAGCCTTTCTCGGCCGCCTCCTTACCTGCGCGCCAACCTCCTCGGTCGCACGTTCGAACATAACCGCCGCTGCAACACCTCAAGTAACACGGCCACACCACACTCCACCGTAACAAAATACCACCACCAGACCACACTAGCACTTCATCCGACTTAGCTCCCTCTCTCTGACAAGCATAAAAGCCGCCTCTTTTCTCAACGAAGAAATCAAGAAAGTGAAAACTTGTATCATCTGTAGAAGCGACTCCAGCCAAGCAACCCAGTGCCGCTCCGACTCATCTCACTCGACAGTGCGTAAAACTCCATCTCCGCCTTCCTTTCCACTCCCACCGCTAGCCGCCAACACCATGGCCGCCGAGTATCCTCCTCCTGAGAGCATCCCGCCGTACGCCGGCGGTCCGCCGCCGACAGATTACGCGCCGCCGCCAGCCTACCCACCGACGGGCGCAAACCCTCCTCCGCCTGCGGGCTACGCAGACGTTGAGGCGGGCGGCGGCGCGGGCAAGCCGCCCGCCGCAACTGGCGGCGGCTCGGGAGGGTCGTCGAGGATGTCGACGTTCATCGGCATCGGGCTGCGCGTCGCCGAGCTGCTCCTCTGCATGATCTCCTTCTCGTGAGTCGCTTGCGACGACGTTGTGCGACGACGACGCACACTCCGGCTTTAACGACGCCACTCACAAAAAATCAATTAACGAAGTCCAGCTAAACCAAAAATTAGTGCGGGCGCGATTCTGTTCGTAGCGATCGCTCGTCTCACCTTCGCCCTCTCTTTTCCCCCTCTCTTCTCCCCGCATTCCTTTTTATTTCCCCTCGTCCCTTCCCCGTTTTCCTCTCAGCCTGCTCGTGTCGACCAAGTACGACTACACCAAGCTCAGCGCGGGCGCGTTCCTCCTCGCCATGACGATCATCGGGTTCATCCTCGCCTTCTTCCTCCTCGTGCTCCTCGTCGCGTCGCTCTTCGTCTCCGCGCTCCGCCCCTTTCAGGGAAAGCTGCGCCTCTTCCAAGTCGTCGAGTGCTGGGTGAGTCACCCGCGCGTTTGCCCGCCTCGCTGTTCATCCCGTCCGCCTTTGCTCACCCGCCCGAGATTCCTTTTCGCTCACTCGTCTTCCATGCCTCCCTCCCTCCCTCCTTCCTACCTTCCACCCACCAATCTGTCGGCCCCCCTCCCCGTCCTCGTTGCTCCCTCGCAGCTGCTCTCGCTGCTCCTCTTCGCGGCGGCGTGCACGGCGGGCGCGCAGGCGTCGGGCTGCGTCAACACGCCAGGAGGCACCTATTTTGGCTACAGCATGTACGTGTTTCCTTGTCGCCGAGAGTGGTGACTTTTGAGTCAACTCAAAAGTCACTGCGTCGACACGCCAGGAGGCAGCTGCTTTGGCTACAGCATGTACGTGTTTCCTTGTCGCCAAGAGTGGTTTTTGGGTATCTTTTGGGTCGACTCAAAAGCCGCGGCGTGCACGACGGGCGCGCATGCGTGGAGCTGCGTCAACTCGGCAGGAGGCAGCTACTTTGGCTACTATGTGTGAGTCTTTCGTTGTTGCAAAGAGAGCGTTGTTTCGACTTTTGAGGTGCCTCAAGAGCACGGCGGGCGCGCAGGCGTCGAGCTGCGTCGTGGGGAGACAATTACTTTAACTATTACATGTCCCGTGTTCCGCTGTCGCAAACAAAGTCTATTATCCACTTGTCTTTTATTGCAAAGTGTTTAGCGCCCTGTCTTACAAGTCTATTACACCGCGGCACTCAAAAGCCGTGGCGTTGCAAAGTTTATTACAAAGTCTTTCCCTTTGAGTCCACTCAACCACCACCCCCCTTTTCCCCTCCTCTTCCCTCCCCGTCCGTTCCGGACCTGCTGCAGTCCCGGTAACAATGACTGCGGGCTGATCAAGGGATCTGTTGCTATGGCCTTCCTTGCCGCCTTTACCTACATTGGCGGATTCTGGTATGCGCTTTCTCTCTCTGTCTCTCTCCTACCATCCCCCATCCCCCCCCCCCCCCCCTCCCTCCATCCGACCTCTTGCTTATTCTCTTTCTCCTCCATTCTCTCATACCTTCATCACAACCCTCTTGCACCCATTCAACACCTTCACTATGCCACTCATGGTGTCTTGCCCTTTAATGTTCTGTCAGCTACCCTCCCCACGTTTTGCTTCCGCAGGTACTACGCACTCTTGTCATATTATAGGCGATAAAGCCCATGGCAGGAAAATGGGGCAATATTTATTGAGCAGTCAATAGCTGCCTGATCTGTACTAGGTTCAAGAAGGCTCTCCTGTAAAACTTACCCTAGCAGTTTGTTTTCGGCTTGTATCTCATTGAGTGCTTTTTATCAAACTGTGTCATTGTCGTGCAATAGTGATTGCGGACTTACGGTAACATGAATGCTCTGGGAAGCGCTTTATGCTCCGTTGACTCTTCTCTATGTGCAATGTGCCATGATATATTGTGGAGTTTGTCATACACATGATAATTATTTGCAGCAGGGCCACATAAGAGGTTTTCAAGCTAATCAATCTTTAACACGCTGATTTTCCTGAATCTTTATTTTACTTGGCCTGTTCATCACGTTTTTTCCTATGTGTGCTTGCATTTTCAGCAAATTACAGTGTGCCAGCAGTGTCTGCAGCGTTTTGTTCCGGATAATTAATATGCAAATGCAGATTATAGGTCAAAATGGATAACTACTATAGTACGGTACAGTGAAGCACACTTGCTTACTCCTTACCTTGTTGACTGGATGGAAAATGTTGAATTCCCTCAACTACGTCGCAATTCGCCACCTTCCCAGACCTCTCCAGGCAAAACCTTCGCTGCAATTTTCGTTCAGCACAGCACAGCACAGCACTTTTACCTCGCCTCGCCACCCCCACCCTTTCTCAGCCTCCCGCCTCTTTTCTGGGCATTGTCATCCTGCTTGGCACTTTCGAAGCTCACCGCCGCTGCAATAGCCAGATCCAAACCATCACGCCACATCACACCGTAATAAAATATCACACCCAACACCCCACCACCACCTTTATCCAACCAAGCCCCCCTTCCCCTAGCAAGCATAAAAAGGGCATTTGCTCTAAGCACGACCACAGCGGAGATACTCAGCCAAGAGAGTGAAATATTCTACTTGTAGATGTCATTTACTCAAAGGAATCAGCGCCGCTCGAGTTTATCTCACTTCGACGCCGCACAATCTCAATTTCAGCCTCCCTTTCAGTAAAGAGTCACTCCCACCACTAGCCGCAAACACAATCATGGCCGCCTACCCTCCTCCTGAGAGCATCCCGCCGTACGCCGCGGGTAATCAGCCGCCGACAAACTACGCGCCGCCACCAAGTTATCAACCGACAGGAGCAAACCCCCCTCCGCCTGCAGGATACGCGGACGTTGAGGCGGGAGGCGGCGCGGGCAAGCCGCCCGCCGCGACTGGCGGCGGCTCGGGTGGGTCGTCGAGGATGTCAACGTTGATCGGCATCGGGCTGCGAATCGTGGAGCTGCTCTGCTGCATTACCTCCTTCACGTGAGTCGTTTGCGATGAGACGCCGCTATTTGCGGTGACGAAGACTCATTCTTTTTGGGATGGCCTTACGATTCTCACATGAAGCAATCAAAGAAGCCCAGCCACACTAAGAATCAGTGCGGGGCATCACCTCTCTGCTCGTAGCGACCCTTCCGCCTCCTCGTTCACCCTCCTCGTTCACCCTCCGAGTCGCCTTCTCTCCCCTCTTTTAACCCTTTCTTTCCTCCTCCTTTCTCCATTTCCCTTTCCCCGTTTTCCTCGCAGCCTACTCGTCTCGACCGAGTACGACTATACCGAGCACAACGCGGGCGCGTTTCTGTTCGCCATGACTATTATCGGGTTCATCCTCGCCTTATTCCTCCTCGTGATTCTCGTCGCGTCGCTCTTTGTCTCCGCGCTACGCCGCTTTCAGGGCAAGCTGCTCATCTTTCAACTCATCGAGGGCTGGGTGAGTGATCCGCGCGCTTGGTGAATACTAAATTGCACAGCCCTCTGTGCAAAAGCGTCTCGAAAATCGAGTGTTGGGTGAGTCAATCGCGCGCTCTGTGGAAAGTAAGAAGCGCAGCCCTCTATGCCCAAGCCGCCCCCCATGTCATGCTAATCAGATTCACTCACAGCGCTCCGCTCCTTCCAGGGCAAGCGCTGCGCCTCATCGAGTGCTGGGTACGTCCGTTGCATGTTTTGTTTTAAGACTCCCAAGCAGTTCAGACGCTGGCAGAGATTCAAATATAGTCAGAGCGTTTCCTCGTCCGCACTCTTCTTCCCGCCTCTTTTTTTCTCGGCCGCCCGAGGTTCCATTTCGCTCACTCTTCCTCCCTCCCACCCTCCCTCCCTCCACCCTCCCTCCCACCCTCCCTCCCTCCCCCCTCCCTCCCTACCTTCCTCCCAACCACCAATCCGTCGGTCCCCCTCCTCGTCCTCGTTGCTCCCTCGCAGCTGCTATCGCTGCTCCTCTTCGCTGCGGCGTGCTCGGCGGGTGCGCAGATGTCGAGTTGCATGGCCGGGTTGGGAGCCAGCTTCTTTGGAAACTACTACACGTGCGTGTTCCGCTGTCGCAAACAGAGCTGTTAGGGATTTTTTGAGAATTCTCAAAAAGGGGGTCTTTGAATTTTCTCAAAAAGGGATTTTTGAGGGTTCTAAAAAATCCCTCCATCGTCGAGATCCAGTTTCTTTGGCAACAACAACACGTGCGTGTTCCGCCGTCTCAAACAGAGAAATTTCTTCTCCTTTCTTTCTTCGCCAGCAGATCTCGTGCAAAAGTTCTCAGTATTCCTCGCACATATGTTCGTTATGAGCAAGCAAATCTTTAGCGGAAAACATCTCGTGCATGTCGAACAACTTGATTACATGTATTATGTGTACCCATCTTAATCCCTCCCCATTCGTTCTTCACCTGTTGCAGTCCTTTTCAAGATGACTGCGAGCTGATCAATGGATCTGTTGTTGTGGCCTTCCTCGCCTCATTTGCCTACATTGGCGGATTCTGGTATGCGCTTTCCTTACCCCCCCCCCCACCCTTCTTTCCCCCTCTCTCCCTCTCTCTCTCTCTCTCTCTCTCTCTCTCTCTCTCTCTCTCTCTCTCTCTCTCTCTCTCTCTTTCTCTCTCTCTCTCTCTCTCTCTCTCTCTCTCTCTCTCTCTCTCTCTCTCTCTCCATCCCTCCCTCCCCCCCTCCCTCCCTCCCTCCCTCCCTCCCTCCCTCCCTCCCTCCCTCCCTCCCTCCCTCCCTCCCTCCCTCCCTCTCTCCCTCCCTCCCTCCCCCCCCCCCCCCCTCTCTCTCTCTCTCTCTCTCTCTCTCTCTCTCTCTCGCTCTCTCTCTCTATCTCTCTCTCTCTCTCCCTCTCTCTCTCTCCGCTCCCTTTCCTCCCTTGCTCCCTCCCCCCCTCCTCGCTCTTTCACTCTCTCCTTCCACTCATTCTCACCTTCATCCCACCCTCTTGCTCCCATTGACTGCCTTCACAATGTCACTTGTGGTGCCTTGGCCTTGATATTCTGTCACCCATCTGTACCCATGCCAAACGTTTTGCTTCGCAGGTACCACGCACTCGTGTCATATTACAGGCGATAAAGCCTATCGCAAAAAAATGGTGTACTATTTATCGAGCACTCAATAGCTGCCTGATCTGTGTAGGTTCCGGTCCGGTGGGCGCTCGCATGATTTTGTTTTTGGCTTCTACCTCTTTCCGCAAGCATAGTCAAACCGTGTCATGCTAACAAACCTTTAAGTCTGTCGCCACAAATCAAATGCAGCATATCCCTATGACTCTGAGCCATCTGTTGGAGATAATGCCGGCAAAATACCGTGTAACAGCATTGATTCTTCATCGCTTTCCCCGACAGATTTTGATGTTACGTCGTCTGCTTCATCTGTTGTTTTTCCGGCGAAATATCGTGTACCCACACTGAATTTTCATCGTTTTCCCCGACAGTAACCCTGAAAACTCAGCCCTGCAGATTTGCTGTCAATGGATGACTGATAGGGAAGATTGAAGCACACTTACACCATTCAGCATACCCATAAATACAACACAGTGATTTTTGTTACATGGCAATGCACAAACCCGGGGCAAGTTATGTCAAACAGCTGGTTGAGGCCGGATGAACAGCTGGTTGGCTATTAGCAACAGTCAACTCTGTACAATCAGCATGATTAGTGTGTTGAAGATCCACTCCAGCATGTATTAGGTCTCATCAACCCCCATTGTTGAAAACGGGAGCACCCCCGATTCTTCCAGAGCATGACGAAACACTCCCATTAGCCCCGATTCATGGCAAAGACATAGTACCTGCAAGCAAGCAAGCAAGCACGGATGAGGAGGAATGCAGGGGGGCAGATGGTTAATGAAGGGAAACAGGATAGAAACAAAGTTTCATGCCCATGGTTTCCACTCCTGTATCTACGGTAGATAGCATGGCGTTCCCCCTCTTGCACTCACTATAAGGTGCCCGCTTTTAAGTGCTCGCTACGCGGACCAGAAATAGAGCGAGCAAGCTATATAACGTATTTGCTATAAGGTTCACCCGTACTCACCAGTGCGTGCCCATGAAAGCGAAAGAGGCGAGAAACGCAAAGGCGACTGAGGTCTTGGCGTAGGTGCACGTGTTGGTCGCTGGGAGGAACGCGTCGTAGGTGCTGCATTCACGGAATGGGAAAGGAGGAAAAGGGAGGGAAAAAGGTGAGAGGTGAGAGGTGATTAGGAAGAAGGGAGAGGCGTAGGTGCTGCATTCAAGTGTCGGGGAGAAGAGATGCTGAGAAAACGGGTGATGGGGAGAAAGAGTAATGATGAGCGGTGGGAGGGGGGAGGTGGGCAACGAGAGGTGACAGGAGAGTCCGAGAGGTCATGGCATGACCAGAGGAGGGCTTAGAAGTGACTGGTGAGCAGAGACAGGTGAGAGAAAAAAGTAGAGGAGAGAGGGTAGAGAGCGCGGCACTCACTTGCTCAAATAGCCGCATGACTCGCCGAACACGTTGGCGCCTGTGCAGGCAGCCCCGAAGAGCAGACACACGTTGAGCTGGTGTGGCGGGGATGAGGAGAGCACGAAGTGTGAGTGTGCAGGTGCGCATACGTGTAGGTACTAGACAAGTTTAGACTAGACGAAAGGACTTTCGAGTCACCTCAAAATTAGACAGGGATGGGCGAACGGAGACATGATCATACGTATATAGGCGTGGCGGTTTGTCA